ATGAGAGGCGGAGGACAAGCGGCTCCAAGCAAACAAGGAAGTTGGGCAAGGAAAGTCTCAACTATCGTGAGAAAGCATCTCTCCACATATTTATGTTTCCTGCAAGAGGATGTAATTTATTCTAGCAACTGCTCAGTCTGGAAGGAATTTCCAGGGCTTGATTTATTTCACTAAGGGGCATGGGAACTGGGTAGAGAGGCATGGAAACATTCTTAGAATGGCTGAGAGACCCATGATAAAATTCATGCAATGGTGCCAACATACAATCCCCGGAAGACAATCCCACCTTATAGAGTTTCGCTTTAGTACAAGTTTTCACTGGTGCCCGCTACACTGAATTGTTGCTGTTGTTTGTCAATTTCATCACAACATACGACAAACTGCATGGACTTCAAATGTTCTAGTTCCTCTATATCCTTGGGAAGGCCAGGCTTCATTCCACCTGTTCCAATGGGCTTGCAGTGGCATCTGATTCCCATGCTCTTTTGAATTTCCCTTATGGCTAATGACGTTGAAAATCTTTTCATATGCTGCCTGGCATCCAGTTACTTCTTTTGTGAAAAATCTGTTCAAATCTTTGGCCCGGGTTTTTATTGAGATGCTTTCTGAACTGTAAATGCAGGGTGACGATGAAGATTACCACAGGGGAAACATAGTAGCTCCCTTACTGCAAGCGTTCTGTATCTGAGCCTCTATTTTCTCATCTGTAAAATGGGTTCTTACTTGTACCGACCCTAGAGGGTTGTGCTGAGGGTTAAATGACTTAAGACAGATAAAGCCAGTAAGGCCAAGCTCAAGGAAGTTGGTCTGGAACCCTAGAGAAGTCAGCTGTGGAGACTCAGAAACAGCGGGGAGGAGGCTCTGAGGACAGCTAAGTTCCGTCATCATGTATTTAGTCATTCAACAAACGGTTATTGTGCGTCTTGCGTGTTTCAACACAAGAGGCACTGGGGAGCAGGTGCAGCTTGTTTTCTCTCCTTGGCATTGCCGAGCCTTGGTGTGGGCGCGCTGCAAGGGATGATGGAAGTTCTTGAAAGGACAGTGGCCACAGGACAGTTGTCATTCATCTTCGTGCGGCTCTCACTCTCACAGGGGACACGGGTTGACAAGCGGTGACACGGGTGGTTGGGCGCTATTACACTCGTGGTCAAGGGAAGCCTGAGAACACATAAAGGAGGCCTGGCCCGAGCGGGCGGTCAGGATGGGCCCCTGGAGCAGGTGAAGGGCAAGCTGAGGCACGGACGGGAGGAGGGCTCCACAGGCCGCGTTGCTTTCCTGGGGCTGCTGTGATCAATCGCCACCAACAGAGTGGCTTAGACAGAAGTGGATTCTCTCACAGTTTGGAAGCCGGATTCCAAAGTCAGGGTGTCACTGGGGCCACGCTCTCTCTGAAGGCCCAGAGGAGAGGGGAGAACCCCTCCCTGCCTCTTCCCAGCTTCTGGTGGTCACGGGCATCTGGTTTACCCGCGGCTACATAACCCCAGTCTCTGCCGCCAAGGCCACGGGACCTTCTTCCTGTGAGTGTCCCTCTCTGTCTTCCCTTCTTTTGTTTTGTTTTGTTTTGTTTTGTTTTGTTATTGTTGTTGACTTCCCAGAGAAAGGGATAGGGAGAGAGAGAAACATCAATGAGAGAGAGTCACTGATTGGCTGCCTCCTGCATGCCCCCCACTGGGGATCGAGCTCGCAACCCAGGCATGTGCCCTTGACCGGAATCAAACCCAGGACCCTTCAGTCTGCAGGCCGATGCTCTATCCACTGAGCCAAACCAGCTAGGGCTGTGTTCCCTTCTTATAAGGGCACCCAGTCATCTTGGATTCAGGGCCCACCCTAACCCAATACGACCTCATCCTACTGATTACATTGACAAAGACCCTATTTCCAAATAAGGCAGCGGTTCTCAACCTGTGGGTCGCGACCCCTTTGGGGGTCAAACGACCCTTTCACAGGGTCACCTAAGATCATCCTGCATATCAGATATTTACATTATGATTCATAACAGTAGCAACATGACAGTTATGAAGTAGCAACGAAAATAATTTTATGGTTGGGTCACAACATGAGGAACTGTATTTAAAGGGCCAGAAGGTTGAGAACCACTGATAAGGTCACAGCCACAGGTACCTGGGCTTAGGACTTCCGGGCTTTTTGGAGGACCGGAATAGACATTTTTCCAAACAAGACATACAGCATGCCAACAGGCACATAAAAAGAAAAGTACTGAACATAACTAATTATCAGGGAAATGCAAATCAAAACCACAATGAGATATCAACTCACACCTGTCAGAATGGCTGTTGTCAAAAGAGCAGGAAACAATGAGGGTTGGCGAGGATGTTGTAGACAAAGGAACCCTTGTGCACTGTTGGTGGGAATGTAAATTGGTGCAGCCACTATGGAAAACAGTTTGGAGCTTCCTCAAAGAAATAAAAATAGAAATACCATACGATCCACCAGTTCCACTTCTGGGAATATATTTAAAGAAAATAAAAACATGATCTCAAAAAGATATCTGCACCCCCATAATCACAGCAGCATTATTTACAATAGCCAAGATATGGGAACAACCTAAGTGTTCATCAGTGGATGAACGGGTAAAGAAATAGAAACTCCAGCCCTGGCTGGTGGTTCAATTAGTTAGAGTGGCATCCTGTACACCAAAAGATTGAGAGTTCGATACCGGGTTGGGGCACATACTAGAGGCAACGGATTGATGTTTCTCTCTCTCCCCAACCCCCCCTCCCCCGCCCCGCACCTTCCTATCTCCCTAAAATCAATAAAAAAAATATCCTCAGGTAAGGAATATATATATATATATATGTATATGTATATATATATATATGTATATATATATATACATATATATATATATATATATATTCCATTATACATAATGGAATATTATTCAGCCATAAAAAAGAAGGAAATATTGCCATTTTTGACTATATATATCAGTGATTCTCAACCTTGGCTGCACATTAGAATCACCTGGCAATCTTTTTAAAATCCTGATTTCTGGGCCTCATCCTCTAGAAATTCTGTTTCTTTGTTACTAATGTTGTGGCCCCCACCCCATAACAAAGAAACAGAATTTCCAGAGGATGAGGCCCAGAAATCAGGATTTTAAAAAGATTCCCAGGTGATCCTAATGTGCAGCCACGGTTGAGAACCACTGGCATAGATGGAACTTGAGGGCTTTATGCGAAGTGATAACACTTGTTACTTCTTGTCTCTTTGAGGACAGCCGTTGTGACGGGTGCGAGTTGCCAGCTCAGTGCGAGTTTTGGTTTGCAGTTCCCTGATGGTCAGTGATGCTCAGCACCTTTTCGTGTGCCTATTGGCCATCTTCTTTGTCTTCTTTGGAGAAATGACTGTTCAGATCTTCTGCCCATTTTTCAATTGGATTGTTTGTACTTTTTTTTTTTAAAATATATTTTATTGATTTTTTACAGAGAGGAAGGGAGAAGGATAGAGAGTTAGAAACATCGATGAGAGAGAAACATCGATCAGCTGCCTCCAACACACGCCCTACTGGGGATGTACCCACAACCAAGGTACATGCCCTTGGCCGGAATCAAACCTGGGACCTTTCAGTCCCCAGACCGAAGCTCTATCCACTGAGCAAACCAGTCAGGGCTGTTTGTACTTTTTTAACATAGATACTAGAATATTAAAAATTATATCTCACGCTATGTTTCTAGTGGATAGAGCTGCTCTAGATTTTTTTGTGTGGTGAAAATTGTTCATAAAAATAATTTTATATATAATTATTTTATTTTTTTAAAAATTTTATATTTAGAACAAATATTTTGTTTTTAGTTAACAGATGTCAACCAGACTTATTGTGATGGCCATTTTGCAATATATACAAGTACCGAGTTATTATGTTGTACACATAAAACTAACCTTATATATCAACTAGAGGCCCACTGCATGAAATTTGTGCACTTGGGGGGTCCCTCAGCCTGGCCTGTGCCCTCTCACAGTCCAGGAGGCCTCGGGATAGGTCCGACTGACAGCTTAGGCCTGCTGGCCTAAAGTAAATAAAATGAAGTTTAGTATCATTTGAAAAAGAAAATAATAATTTTATAAATAGAGGTGTTCTTCCTGCTGTTGTATGGATTTGAGGGGTCAGGGTGGCAGCCAAGAGGCCAGGAACTGGGGAACACGGGTGATGGGGCTTGACCTGGGAGGGCAGTGGTGGGAATAAGAATGAAAGCAAGAGCAGCTCAGCCGGAGTGGCTCATGGTTGAGTGTCGACCTATGAACCAGGAGGTCAGGGTTCGATTCCCGGTCTACCAGGTTGCAGGCTTGATCCCCAGTAGAGTTGTGCAGGAGGCAGCCGATCAATGATTCTTTCTCATCATTGATGTTTCCATATCTCTCTTCCCCTCTGAAACCAATACACACACGCACGTGCGCGTGCACACACACACACACACACACACACACACATATATACCATATATACATATGGTATATATATATCCTATATAATAAAAGCCTCAGTGACTATTCAACCATTCAACTGTTTGACCTAGCGACTCGTAGCTATGACATGCACTGACCACCAGTGGGCAGATGTTCCACCTGGTAGGTTAGCTTGATGCTGGGGTCCAACCAATCGGGACTGGGCGAGACGGGCCGGACACGCCCTGGAACCCTCCCATGGTCCCTTCCCGGCCTTGGTCATGCACCGGTTGGGTCCCTTGGCCTAGCCTGTGCCCTCTTGCCATTCTGGACCCCCTCGGGGGATGCCCGCAGGCCAGGCTGAAGGACCCCACCAGTGCACGAATTTGTGCACCGGGCCTCTAATATATATATATATATATATATATATATATATATATATATATATATATTAGCAATAACAACACACACTAATGTAGCGATGGCTGTGTGCCAGGGAGTGTTCTAAGTGTTTTGCATATTCACTTCCTCCTCCCAACCCCTAGGAAGTAGGCACTAGTTCTCCTCATGCCCCATTTGGCAGATGAGGAAAATGAAGCGTAGAGAGGGGAGGTCACTGGTCTGAGATAGCTGGCTGCAGCCTCTCTGCAGATGGCCAGGACTATTATGTTGCTTTTGGGAATATGAGGACAACTGGGGCACAGGTTAGGAGGTGGTAAGACAGACCCTGGTAAGAAAGGCAATGGAGGCGGGGGGCGGGCAAGGGCTGGGGAGGAAAAGCCAGTGGTGGGGAAATGCAGGACCAATTCAGGACCAGGAGGACATTCCAGGGGCAACACAGGTGGTGGCTGGACCTTGGGCTGGGGACGGAGACCCAGGTCGAGAGCTGATATTGTGGCTGTGCTCATGGAGGAGCGGGGAAGGTCGAGGAATCCAGGGCCCCGCAGTAAACCACCCCCTTCTCAAGGGGAACCAGCTGTGGCCATGGTGGAGGTCAGACACCAGATCAAACAGAAGAGGGCCTGTGGCTCCACCACCCATCTATCCCCTGTGAGGCAACAAGTCCTCCTTCCATTTCACAGGTGTTTTGTGGCTCCTACTGTGGGCCAGGCCACCGGCTACATGTTGAGGCCCTACTGTGGGCCAGGCCACCGGCTGCATGTTGAGGCCCTACTGTGGGCCAGGCCACCGGCTGCATGTTGAGGCCCCAGCAGTGACCTGGATGGACAGACACCCCACCCTCAAGCTGTGGTGGAAACAGAGGTAATAAACGTAGAAATTACATATGTAAAACATATACTAAAAAAAACCCAAAAAGCGTACTAGTATACAGGGTGGGGAAAAAGTAAGTGTAAGGTTGTGAGTATGAGAAACAGTTTATTTTTGTATTACTACTTATTCATTATTGTATTATTTTCCATATGAACAGTTGTAAACCTACTTTTGCTCCACCTGGTACCGTAGGGCCTCGGGTTACGTCGGAGATCCGTTCCCGCGGCGCGACGTGATGCGATTTTCACCGTAGTCGGAACCCACCCACATAAGCACCTACGTCACTCACATGGAGCACACACACAGCAGTAATGAAGTGAAACAGTAAAAGGATTTAAAAGAAAGATAACAATTCCTGACCTTCACTTGTGGTAAATAAATAATAAAAAACATAAAGCACATATGTACGTACGTCAAAATGACGGACTTTTTTTTTTATAAATACTATAAACGGAAGATGGTGAGGTAACTACGAAACGACGTACGTCGAGTCCGACGTAACCCAAGGACTGCCTGTATATATAAAATCGGTGCTATGGCCCCGGCAGTGTGGCTCGGGTGGTTGGGCATCGTCCTGTGCACCAAAGGGTTGCCGATTCAATTCCCGGTCAGGGCACATGCCCAGGTTTCAGGCTCATCCCTAGTGTGGGGAGATACGAGGGGGAAGCCGACCAATAACGTGCTCTCACATCCTCTCTCTCTAAAAATCAATAAGCTATCCTAATAATAAAAGCCTAGGTGGTGTGGCGTGATGTCATCACAAGATGGCTGGCAGGGGCGGGCAGTTGGGGGAGACCAGGCCTGCAGGGGCGGGCAGTTGGGGGAGACCAGGCCTGCAGGGGAGGGCAGCTGGGTGCGACCAGGCCTGCAGGGGAGGGCACTTGGGGGCCATCAGGCTGGCAGGGGAGCATTTAGGTGTCGATCAGGCAGACAGGGGAATGGTTAGGGGGCGGTCAGGCAGGCAGGCAGGCGAGCCGTTAGGAGCCAGCAATCTTGGATTGTGAAAGGGATGTCTGACTGCCCCCAAGGGGTCCCAGATTGGAGAGGGTGCAGGCCAGGCTGAGGGACACACACTCCCCACCCCCGCACACAAATTTCGGGCAGTGGGCCTCTAGTTACTAAACAAATAAATAAATAAATAAAATCAGTGCTATGGTGTGAATGCTTGTGCCCCAAATTCATATGTTGAGGCCCTAAACCCCAATGGGATAGTATGTGGAGGTGGTTAGGGTTAGGTGAGGTCATGAGGGTGGAGTCCCCATGGTGGGAATGATGATGCCCTTATAAAAACAGGAAGAGACTCAGTCTTGCTCTCTCTCCAAGGAGAGGCCATGTGAGGACATAACCAGGAAGAGGCAGGCCCTCACCAACATCCCAGCTCCACTGGCACCCTGATCTTGAACTTCCACCTCCCAGAACTGTGAGAAATAAATGTCTGTTTTTCAAGCCACCCCGTCTGCGGTGTTTGTGACAGCAGCCTGAGCTGACTCAATCAGGGTTGTAGCTGCTCTGTAAACAAATATAGCAGGAAGGGAGAAGGGAGCCCAGGGTGGGCATGGGGAGGAACTCTGAGAGCCGTCACCCTGCAGGGATGACATTGGAACGAAGTCCTGACGGAGGTTCAGGAGGAGTCGTGCAGATACCTCAGGGAAGAGAGAAACAGCATGTGCAAAGGTCCTGTGGTGGGACCTGCAGAGTTTAAGGAGGCAGGGGTGCCTGAAGGGCGAGCAGAGGGAAAGTCAGGGAGGTGACTTTCCTTTTGCGCCTTCTCCTTTGCATCCCACACCCTCACCCTAATCCTCTCTGACTTTCTTAGCGGCTGAGGACAGTGCGCTGCGCATCACACAGGCCATCACACTGTCATCTCCCCGTCAGGCTGAGGCTGAGGCTGAGGCTGGCCGCGCTGAGCCCTGACTGCGCCTTCGGTGCCAGTGAGGAGCTTAACGCGGAGGGGCTCAGCCCCCTTCCAACACTCCTGCGCGTTAGATGCACTGAAACGTCTGCAGCTTCATTAGCTGTGATTGGCGCACAGCAAACACCCGACTTAGAGTGCACGCGCGGGTGAGTGTTCACCTCCCGGAAGCCGCCTCCGCCTTCCAGACCGTGAGCCCTTCCCGGCCCTGAAAGGGTCCTCCCGCCCTTGTTGGGCTCCTCCCTCTCCCCCCGCACCGGCAGCCGCTGAGGGTGTCAGGAGCTGCACTTCCTAGGGATTGAGTTTGATCTAAACGGGACGGAGCGTATTCTCTCCTTTGTCGTCTGGCTTCTCTCCGGGAGCAAAATCATCATGAATATTCGTTTATGTTGTGACGTGTCTTTGAGCCCCCGTTTGCTTATGGGGAAACTGAGGCACACGGAGGGGGGATGAGAGGTGGGGAGGGAAGGGGCGTCACGGACAGGCCTGCCCCGCCCGGGCCCGGAGGGGCGGAGGGCGCCCCGCGCGGCGGGAGGCGGGGCGGGGGCCTCGATAAGGACCCGCGGGGCTCTGCGCGCCTGGGCGCCGCGATAAGGCGGGGGGGGGCGGGGGGGCCGCCGGACGGGAACCGGGGCGGGGCGGGAGCCGGGGCGGGGCGCGGGCCGGGGCGGGGCGCGGGCCGGGGCGGGGCGTCGGAGGGCCACGCCCGCCGCCTCGTCCTCGGGCAGCGCCGCTAAGATGGCGGCGGCGGCGGGGACAGCGCCCCGCGCCGGGCCCGGGGACCTGGCGGCCGCGGCGGGGGCGGACTAGAGCCTCCCGGGCGCTCCGGCCGGGCCCGGGACCCGGCGCCCATGCACCCCGTGTCGCCGGCCGCCGCGCAGTACCGCCGCGGGGGCCCGGAGGACGCGCGCCGCCCCGAGGCCCGCCGGGCGCGGGCGCCCCGAGGCCCGGACCCCAACGGCCTGGCGCCCCCCGGAGCCGGCGGCCCCGCGCTGGGCCCGTCCGGAGCCGCCCCCGGGGAGCCGGGCGAGGTGGACAAGTTCAAGGCGAAGTTCCTGACCGCCTGGAACAACGTCAAGTACGGTGAGCGGGGCCGGGCGGGGGCCGGGTTGGGGGCCTGGAGGAGGGGGTGAAGGGGGGCGGGGGGCGGGGGGTGAAGGGGGGCGGGGGGCGGGGGGCGTCCGGGCACCAGTCCTTGCCCTGCATCCGGTTCCCACCATTCGCTCTCCCGGAGGCACCTGCGGCCCCGCCCCGCCCGGCCCGGCAGGTCCTGCAGGGAAAGTGTTTCCAAATGCCCCCCTTCCCGTGACCTTGAGCAGCCTTTTTACTTCCTTGTGCCTCCACCTTTCCCTTCTGTGAAATGGGTACGATAGTCAGACCTGCCTTCATTCATCCCGAGAGGATGGCAAACACTTCCATCCGAGAGGACGGGGCTGGGTTCCCCCGGGGCCACCCGGAGCCGGGCGGGGGGGGGGGGTCCCCATTTCACAGATGGGAGCTGTCGCTGCCATGACGACTGTGCTAGAACCGTCATCTCGCTGCTGCTCCACAGGCTGGACAGTCAAAAGCCGGACCAGCTTCAGCAAGATCTCCAGCGTCCACCTCTGTGGCCGCCGCTACTGCTTCGAGAGTGAGGGTGAGCTGGCGGCCCCGGGCCCGAGTTGGGGGAGCCCCCCTCCCCCAGATGTTTGTGTGGCCGCTGACACACCTGCTCTTACAGGTGACATCCAGCGTTTCCAGCGGGACTTCGCGTCCCGCCTGTGGCTCACCTACCGCCGGGACTTCCCGCCCTTGGCCGGGGGCTGCCTGACCTCAGACTGTGGCTGGGGCTGCATGTTGCGAAGTGGGCAGATGATGCTGGCACAGGGCCTCCTGCTGCATTTCCTGCCCAGAGGTGAGAGGCGGAGGGGGAAGGGCACACCAGGCGCATGAGCCAACCGCATAAGTCAGCAGGGTTAGAATTGTTTGTAAATAAAGTTTAAAGTCACGTCAGAATTACGTAGAAAGCAAGTTCTGCCCCGGGGGAGTTAGAGTTGTTTATGTTTCAGGACTGTGAGAATTGTTAAACGTGGAGTCTCAGGGGCATTAGAATTGGGTGTAAAGCATGAGTAACTGGGAACTGTGACCCCCACACACTGGCATTGGTTGACTGTTGATTCCATCCCTCCAGACTGGACATGGGCGGAGGGTGCAGGCCTGAGCCCCCCTGAGCCAGCAGGGTTGGCCTCTCCCAACCGGCACCATGGGCTTGCCCACTGGAAGCCCCCACGCTGGGCCCAGGGCGCCCCTGAGCTGGAGCAGGAACGCTGGCATCGGCAGATTGTGTCCTGGTTCGCCGACCACCCCCAGGCCCCCTTCGGCCTACACCAGCTGGTGGAGCTCGGACAGAGCTGGGGCAAGAAGGCAGGTGACTGGTATGGGCCATCTCTTGTGGCACATATACTCAGGTGAGGACCACGGCAGGGGACATGGGAGCCAGTGGGTACCCCAGGGAACTCAAGCCTTTCTTCTGGCCCCCAGGAAAGCTGTGGAGAGCTGCTCAGAGGTCACCCGCCTGGTGGTGTACGTGTCTCAGGATTGCACAGGTAAGGGGCTGCTAGCCAAGGTCACGGGGTTCTCCTCCTGGGCCAGTCACTACTGCGGCTGCCTCTTAGGACCCGCCTTTCTCAGAGGCTGAAACAGTTCTGGGTCAGAGGGACCCTTGGAAAGGATTCAAGGCCTGCTCGGGACAGATGCTCAGGATCCCTCTGCTGCCTCTAGATCCAGGAGAGCAAGCTTCAGGGGCTTCTCCCCAAGGATAGAATAAAGGACATAAGGACTTATTTCTCTGAGATCCAATTAACTCTTACTGTAAACAGCTCTGACATGTACAAAAGTCTGGTCTTCTCTACCTTGTAGTGTTGTTATAAGAACTAAGTGAGCCCTAGCTGGTTTGGCTCAGTGGATAGAACGTCAGCGTACAGACTGAAAGGTCCCAGGTTCGATTCTGGTCAAGGGCACAGGTCCGGGTGTGGGCTCGATCCCCAGTAGGAGGCGTGCATGAGGCAGCCGATCAATGATTCTCTTCATCATTGATGTTTCTATCTCTCTCCCCCTCTCCCTTCCTCTCTGATATCAGTAAAAATATTTTAAAAAATAAAAGGATTGGGCCGTAACCGGTTTGGCTCAGTGGATAGAGCGTCGGCCTGCGGACTGAAGGGTCCCGGGTTCGATTCCAGTCAGGGGCATGTACCTTGGTTGCGGGCACATCCCCAGTGGGAGATGTGCAGGAGGCAGCTGATCGATGTTTCTAACTCTCTATCTCTCTCCCTTCCTCTCTGTAAAAAATCAATAAAATATATTTTAAAAAAATAAAAATAAAAATAAAAGGATTGGTATCAGGGAAGCTACAAAAACTAAATTGTTATGCAAAATTGTAGGGGTTTGGGACAAGGTTCGATTTTCACAGAGAGCTATTGTCTTAATCTGTTTAGGCTGCTACAACAAAAATAGCACAGACCAGGTGGCTTATAAACAACAGGAATTTATTTTTCATAATTCTCAGGCTGGAAAGTCCAAGATCAAAATGCAGGCAGATTTGGTGTCAGTGGGAGCCCATTCCCTGGCTTGCTGTGCTGTGTGCTCACATGTCAGACTGGGCAAGCAAGCTCTCTGGGGTCTCATTTTTGTTTCATTTTTCCGTTCAGGTATAACTGACCTATACCAATATAGTAGTTGCAGGTATATAATATCATGATTTGATATTTGTATGCAGGGTGGGGCAAAAGTTTACAGTTCGTATGGAAAATAATGCGATTAATAATAGTACAGGAGTAAGCTCTGTTTCACATACTCATGACTGTGTACCTATTCTTGCCCCACCCTGAACATTGTGAAATGATTACCACACCAAATCTAGTTAACATCTGTCAATATACATAGTTTTTAAAAATTGGGGGGGGTACCTCTTTTATAAGAGCACTTATCCCATCCTTGAGGGGTCCAGCCTCAAATGACATCATCACCTCTCAAAGGCTATCACCTTGGGATTAGGATTTCTACATACAAATTTGGGGGGACTCAAGCATTCAGATCATAGCAGCTGTGTCTCCAGAAAGGGTCGGATCCACTTCTCTGGTACCAGCAAGAAAGGAGGAGGAGAATGGACAGCTGCAGATGAGACTTGAGGAGGAGGGACACACAGGGACATTGGTTGAGGACTGCTCTGTGCTCCCATTTCCTTATTGGCAAACCCAGAAACCGAGTCAGTGAGGACCAGTAGGGCCTGGGGTTGGGGGTAGGCTCCAGGCTTTGGGAAAGGCTCCACCTCCTGGCAGTACGTTCTTCATCCGACTCTTAGGGTCATGGTTGCTCTCTGTGAAATGGGGGCCCTGGGATTGTCTAGGGGAGTTTGGGGGTTCTGGAAATACTTCCTTCTCCACTGACAATGGGAGTGTCACCCCCTAGGGGGTTGCTTGGATGAGATTGGACCCCTGGGGTTAGAGGGTCACACTCTGAAGCTGAAGGTTAGCAAGATGACCTTCTGCCCTGTCCCTTCCAGTGTACAAAGCAGATGTGGCCCGCCTGGTGGCTCGGCCGGACTGCACAGCGGAGTGGAAGTCTGTGGTCATCCTGGTGCCTGTGCGGCTGGGCGGGGAGACTCTCAATCCCGTGTATGTGCCCTGCGTGAAGGTAGGTTCAGCCAGATTCACCACGTCTCCCCCAAAAGCCCCCTGGGTTCTTTCAGTTTGGGTTAGGTATGTGTGCTTCCTTCATCTGTTTATCCAATAGTCACAGGGCACCTGTTATGTGCCAAGTGCTCTCCCAGTTGCTGAGGATTCAGACGTAAACAGGCAAAAATTTGTGCCTTTTGGGGGGTGAACATTCTAATGACAGGCAGTGAATCTGGGACCAAATAGACAGCCTGGGAGTTACAACTCGGACTGTAAAGGAACGAAAACTAGTGATGATGGGGGTGGCTGCACAACCGAGGAAAGCCCCTCTCTTGCCAGGGCACATGAAGAGCCAGAGGAGTGTTCCAGGCAAAGGGAACAGCAAGGCTGGAAAGACCCTGGTGTGTTTACACTCAGAATAAAGGCCACAGCCCACAGGACCCTGGACCCTGTCCCTTCCTTCACCTCATCTGCTCCCACTCTCCTCACTCCGCGGCACCCACATGGGCCTCCTTGCGGTCCTTACAACGCACCTGCCTCGGGGCCTTTGCACTTGCTGTTTCCCAAGATGCTGGAACATCACCTCCCAGTGAGGCCTTTCCTGACTCCTCAATTTATAATTTCAAGGCTCCCTTACCTCCTTTCTTCTTTTCCCAGTGCAGTCACTTCCAACACATAACTCACTCACCTTGTTCCTTGTCTAACATGTCAGCTCCATAGATAGTACTTTAGTCACTGCTGCTCCCCAGGGCCCAGCACACGCCTAGGTTCGCACACATTGGGTGTTTGCGAAGTATTTCTTGACAGACTGACAGCACCTGCCCCGAGTTCTCACCTTTGCCCACTCTCCTCCCTGCAGGAGCTCCTGCGTTCAGAGCTGTGCCTGGGCATTATGGGGGGCAAGCCGCGGCACTCGCTGTATTTCATCGGCTACCAGGGTAGGCCTGCTCCGTCACATTCCATCCTGCCTCACCTCCCCCTTCCCCACCCCCACTTACACCTCCTCCCCTGCAGATGACTCCCTGCTCTACCTGGACCCCCACTACTGCCAGCCCACTGTGGATGTCAGCCAGGCTGACTTCCCCCTGGAGGTGAGCTGGTATCCCCAGAGTGGGGTTGGGGGCATGTGGAAGAAGTTGGGGCCCCCCTGAGCTCCCCTTCTTTGTCTGCCTCAGTCCTTCCATTGCACCTCACCCCGCAAGATGGCCTTCACCAAGATGGACCCCAGCTGTACTGTGGGGTTCTATGCTGGAAACAGGAAGGAGTTTGAGACACTGTGCTCAGAGCTGACCAGGGTGAGCAAGAGGAGTGGTGGAAGGTGTGGGAGAGTCAGGGCTGGAGGGGAGAACGGACAGAGGCCTCCGGGCCAGCAGACCTGGGGAGGTTACTTCCAGGCTGTGTTGTCAAGGTTGTCATCCTGTCCATGTTACAAAAGCCCAGCTTTGAATAGACCCAAAAGGGGCATAATATGAAAAGTTAGGGGCTTTACCCTTATTGTGGCAAAGGTCAGCTGTCAGCCACTCTGGGCACCTACCTCCCCATTCGTGGGAAGGGAACCCTACTCTCCCAGCACAGAGTGAAATCCCAGGGCTGCCTTTCGTCGTCTGCATTGGGGCACATGCCATCAGAGTCCATCACTGTCCGGGGGAGTAGAAGGTGCCGATTTACTGGCCTGGGTCACTGCCCTGAGGGATGGGATTGAGTTCAGGAAGCACCTTCTGAATAGACCTGTTAGAATAGCTGTGCCTGTGGGGTCAGTAACTGGCGACTGCTTTTGGTACTGAGTTGCTCTCTCCCTCCTCCCACCAGGTCCTCAGCTCCTCCGCGGCCACACAGCGGTACCCCATGTTCACCCTGGCCGAGGGCCATGCTCAGGACCACAGCCTAGACAACCTCGGCTCCCAGCCAACTCTGCAGCTCCCTCGCACTGGGCGGCTCCTCAAGGCGAAGCGCCCCAGCTCTGAGGACTTTGTCTTTTTATAAAGGGATGGGATGGGGGAGAAGATAGGACAAACACTATTTATTTTTTTATTTATGTCACACTGGATGTGGGAGCTTGACCTCTGGTGGTGATGGTACTTCCCACTTCTCACCCCCTTTAGCGCAGCTGAGACCAGCCCAGGAAACCTCCAGGCTGGAGCCATTAAGCCAGGGACGGAGCCCAAAGGCCTGCCTCCTGCCTCTTGGGCCCTCACAGGGCGAGGAGGGAGGGATGGCAGATGGACTCCCAGGCACCCACTCAGGGCCTGACTCAAGTACTGTAGTTTGCACTGGACTGCTCGTGCCCTCACTGGCCTCCAAGCTCCTGTCCTGCTAAGGGCTGGTGGCAGTGTGGGAACTGGCTGCCTGGGGCCAATAAAGCCGTCAGATTTGACCTCAGCTATGGCCAGACGGAGCATTTGAGAGATGGGACCAGGGTGTGTATCAAGATGAGACATGTCCACGTCTCCTGGGGAGCTGGAGTAGACTCAGCTTCCACATCTGTAAGACGGGACTTCTCCCTTGCCCACAGGGAGACACGTGGGTCTGTACAGTCAACAAGAAGGGATGCACTCAGGGGCCTATTGAAGGGAGAGAATCTGAGGGCCCTTGTCTTCTCCATCGAGCTCAGGGGCAGCTCTTGAGCCCCTGCTGCTTCCTCCTTTTCCGGGCCAGCAGGCGGAAGTGCAGCCTTTTTGGATTGAGGCCGAAGGCCTGCAGTCTCTGGCGGCTGAACTCCTGTCCTCCAAGCGTCACTGTGGGGCCCAGGAGTCGAGCCTTCTTGCCCCTCCTCCGCCTCTGGGGGGCTGGCTTCTCTGTGGGTGACATGGGGGCGGCCTCTTTCTGTGCTAGGGGGCTCTCAGGCTGGGGCCGCTTCCTGCAGGCCCCATCAGATGCCAGCAGCTGCCCCTGTGGGCCGGCTTTGTCTCCCTGTGGCTTCCCTGTGGCTTCTGTGGGTGTCTCTTTCCTGGGGAAAGAAAGTCAGGGCTCAGCCCAGGCCAGCACAATTAGACCCCTTCCCAGTTGTACATCCCCCGTTTTACAGTTGAGGAGAGAGGCTCAGATAAATGGCAACGCAGCAATTCAGGTGCCTGCCTGGAATTCACACTGGGGTCTGACACCAAAACTGGGTTTTTCTACTGAATCCTGAAGCTGGACTGTGTTGCTGATAATTCTTGTATTTGAGCCTGGGCTTACACTAAGCTATTCACATAAATTAACTCATTTCATCTTTAAATCAACTCTGGGAATTCCTGTCACCCCTGCTCCCTGCTGTATAGACCAAGAAGTAACATGATGATAACAATAGCTAAAACCTATCAGCACTTACTATGTTTTAAGCACTTCACATAAATGCACTTAATCCTCAAAAAACCCCAACAAGAAATGAGCCATCTTTATCCCCATTTTATAAATAAGGAAATAGGCTGAGAGGGGAAATGACTTGCCCAAGGTTACATAGCTGTAGCCCAGGCAGGACTTGAACCCAGGTCTCAGAGAGGGGGAGGGCCCAGTCCCAAAGTCATGCAACAAATGGCTGACAGAGCGAGACTCAAACCCTGGCCTGGCACCCCACCCTCCCCGGGCAAGCAACACTCACTCCTCTGAGCAGAGCGATTTGAAGATCTGCCTCTTTTTCCATGAGTTCTGCGCCTTCTGGCTGTACGCCTTCTTGTCCTGCAGCTCCTCCTGCTCCGACCTTGGGTGCCCAGCGGACACGCGTGTCATTGGGTGCTCAGGGAGATGCCATGCTTGCCTGTCTGCCCCTCCTCCCAAACACCTGGCCCAGCCCCACCCGTCACCTATACATGCAGGTCTTCTTCAGGGAGCACCACCGGTTCAGCTCCTTGTCGTCAGCAGCAAGGATCTGCATGGGAAGGGAGAGGGGTCCTGCTGCGTGAGCCCTGGGGGGGCTCTGACTCTAAGCCTTAGTCACCTCATTAGTCATTAGTACAGGGCAATGCTAGTACCACCCAGTAGTGATGTCACGATGGTGGGAGAGAAGTGATGTCCGTGGAGGCTAATGTTTTTTGCAGAGGACAACAGATAGGGAAACAGGTTCAGAAAGGGGTTCCTTGCCCCAAGTCATACAGCCAGGAAGTGACTGATTTCGGATTCCAGGGCCCTGTAGCCCTCACCCATGCGCTATGGTCCCAGCAGCCTCAGGGCAGGGACCTCTATGCCAAGCACTAGATTTGCTAATTATAGGTAAGGCCCAGGTTCTCAACCTCCAGGCTCCTGCCTCCAGGCTTCAGATTCCTCATTTATGAGGTGGGCATCCCCTCAGAACCTATTAGAAGGTTGTTGAGAAGAGTGAGTAAATGCAGATGGTATAAGCTCAATCGACATCAGTTCTATTTTTTTTTTTTAATATATTTTATTGATTTTTCACAGAGAGGAAGGGAGAGAGACAGAGAGTCAGAAACATCGACGAGAGAGAACCATCGATCAGCTGCCTCCCGCACATCTCCCACTGGGGATGTGCCCGCAACCCAGGCACATGCCCTCGACCGGAATCGAACCCGGGACCTCTCAGTCCGCAGGCCGACGCTCCATCCACCGAGCCAAACCGGTTTCGGCGACATCAGTTCTATTTTTATTGATTTCAGAGAGGGTGAGGGAGATCGAAACATCAATGATTAGAGATAATTATTGATTGGCTGCCTTCTGCATGCCCCCTGCTGAGGATCCAGCCTGAAACCAGGGCCTGTGCCCTGACCTGGAATTGAACCGTGACCTCCTGGTTCATAGGTCCATGTTCAATCACTGAGCCACACCAGCTGGGCGACATCAGCTATTTTTACTGACCAACAATAGTCAAGCACTGACAGCCATCATGGATAGCTAAGGGACAAGTGCCATCTAAAGAGACACATGGGTGCGGCCAGTGTGGCTCAGCAGTTGAGTGTCGACCTATAAACCAGCAGATCACAGTTCAATTCCAGTCAGGACACATGCCTGAGTTGCAGGCTCAATCCCCAGTAGGGGGCGTGCAGGAAGCAGCCGATCAATGATTCTCTCATAAGTAATGTTTCTGTCTCCCTCTCCCTTCCTCTCTGAAATAAATATATTATTTTAAAATATATATATATATATTAAAAATAAAGAGCCACACATCGTTTCAGCTTCAGGGACATGAGGTAGGGGCTGTCATTAGGCCCGTTTTATAGATGGGAAACAGGTACAGAGCCCAAGTCCACGGTCACACAGCTGATGAGTGGCTAAGGCAGGATTTGAATCCAGGGCATCTGGTTCCAGAGCCCATCTAGTCTTAAAGGCCACCCTGCTGCACATAGAATAGTAACATAATTAAAGGTACAGTTGACCCCTGAACAACATGGGTTTGAACTGCATGGGTCCATTTATATGCAGGTTTTTGTCAAATATTTAAAAATTTTTAACATTTTCCCCCCATTTACTTTATTGTAAGAATACAGTACATAATGTGTATAATATACAAATATAAGTTAATCAACTGCTTATGGAATCAGTAAGGCTCCCAGTCAACAATAGGCTATTAATATAGTCAGCCTGAATCTGCAAAGGTTGAATCCATAGATGTGAAACCCACAGCTATGAAGGGCCAACTATAGTTGAGTTTTTGGGGAATCAAAAATTATATGCATATTTTTGACTGCACAGGGACCAGCAGTTGTTTAAGGGTCAACTGTAATATTTATAATGGGCTGTTTGAAGCCCCTCCCCATCTCATGGAAACCCTCTGAGGTAGGAAATTTCAGTCGTCATTAGCACTATTATTCCTGTATTTTTTTAACTTATGGAATTTAGAGAGAGAGAGAAACATCTACTTGTTGTTCCATTTATTCATGCAGTCACTGGTTGACTCTTGTATGTGCCCTGACCAGGGATCGAACCCGCAACCCTGGTGTATCGACAATGCTCTAACCAACTGAGCCACCTGGCCAGGGTAGTCCTATCAATTTTGACATGAGGAAACAGGTCCTGTGGCAGCAACCACTGGCTCTGAGCTCCCTCTTGCCTCCTGGGTGCCTCCCAGTGTCCCGCACCCGCCTGGGGCCCCCTACCTCTTCAGTGCTGAGCCCGAAGTCACAGGGCACGACAGTGCGGTACTTGAAGCGACAGGGTAGGTCGTCGATGATGTCCTCATAGTCCAACCGGTAATACTCGTCCAGGTACTCCTCAAAGGTCTTGTCCCCTGTGTGGGTAGAGAACTGGGCTGCTATGGTGCGCTGGCCCTGCGGAGCCCCTGCTCGCCCACGGAATGCCCACCAGAGCCTCACTGGGGTTGAACACAGGTTTCTCCTGCCCCACAGCTGCAGCAAAGGGTGACTTGCGCTTCTTCTTGCCCGTTAAGGGGGCCTCACGCTGCTTCTTCTGCGGCTGGCTGGGGTCGTAGTCAGCATCCATCTGCCAAGACATGCAGGTCAGGCCAGTCCTCGCAGCCCTTGGGACTTTCCAAGGCAGCCCCCGCCCCCCTCCCCATGGCACCTACATTGAAGTCTGGGTCCTCGCAGTGCAGCTCCTGCTGGCTCCAATCTCCACCCTGCTCCAGCCCAGTCCACGTGTCCCAGTTCCAGTGATCTGGCTCCAGAGGAAGGACAGACAGGGATGAGCCCAGGGGGCTCAGGATTGGGAACTCGGGCTTCAGGCCCAGCACTCCACCCCCACCCAGTGACCTCACCTTCGAACCCTTCCTCTTCCTCAAATTGTGGCTTCTCCTCCTCCATTGTGCCGTAGTACTCGTCCCCGAAGCATTTCTGCAGGGCCAGGGACCGGGAGGATCAGCAGGGCCCAACCCTTCCAGACAGCTCTATCCCTGCACCTCACATGCCTCCCTAGCATCCTTCAGGACCCAGCTCCTGAAGTGGGCCTGACAAAGCTGGTCAAAGGACTCCTCTCAGACCCCACCTGCCCCTGCAGGTCCCCATCACCACTCAGGCCCTGCAGGTTGTAACCACATAGTTAAACGCCTGCCATCAGATTGAGGGCTCTGAGAGGGCAGGACCTCTACGCTGCCCAGTGTTTGGCATACAGCGACTGTCAGGCTGGCTCTCACCACTCCATCAGCTCCAAGAAGGCCGACACTGGGCTCCACGAGGGCTGAAACCCCAGTGCCCAATGCAGGGCCTGGCAAAGGCAGATATTGTTAAACATGTCATTTATTGAGCGTCTACTATATCCCCAATACTGGCTACACCTCACATTTGCACAAGCACCAGGAGACAGACAGTATCCCCATTTTATGGAGAAACTGAAGCTTAAACTCCAACTATATAGCTCCCCCCACCCCCCCCCCCCCGCTTCCCGCCCCCATTCTGGTTTTCACCTGGCCTACCTACATATCCTCACTCCCCTTCCCTCACTTTCCAGACTTCGTCAGAGGCTTCTCTGAGGCTCCTGTGGTCCCCACTGCTCCTCACATGCCTTCATCACCTGTTTCTATGGCCTGATGTTGTATTCCCACAAATACAACAATAAACATTAATGGCACAATAAATGAGTTTAAAAGAAACACAGCAACCCACTGTTCCTTGAGCACTTACCAACTAAACTTTTATGTGTATTCCTCTCAAGCTATCCTTACAACAGCTCTGAGGTGGATGCTATGGTTAGACCCACTTTACAGGCAAGGACAAAGGCTCAGCGAGCTCAAACCACTTCTCTTAGCCCCACAACCAGGAAACAACTGATTCCAGAGCCATGCTCCTGAGCACGGGCTGCACGGCCAGGCCTGGGCGTGGGGGCCGTACCTGCATGAGCTGGTCATGCCGGGTGGGGTCGAAGTCGTCCTCGAGGTCCCGTTCCTCAAAGCCCACTGTCTCGTTGCCCGTGACCTGCCGCAGCTTCTCCAGCTTGGCCAGAATCTCCTTCCTCTTCAGGTTCTTCAGCTGCTTGAGTTCTTCCTGCTTTTTCGCTTTCTCCTGTGGGTGGCAGGCAAGAGGGAGAGGGAGGATATGGGCTCTCCCCACAGCTAAGGGCTCTCCTAGCCCACCGCCCCCTCACACTCACCCTCCTCTTCCGCTCCCTAATCTCCTCCCTTTTCTCCTTCCTTCGCTCGTCCTTGCGGCGCACAGAGGACGCAATGCTCCGAGGGTAGGTCTTGACCTGTGGGACAGGGATGATTCTGGGCTCTCTGGGCCTGAGCCCAACGAGCCAGCGCCTCCCAAGCCCTAGCTCTACCCACCACGGCCGAGTCAGGCTCCTCAAAGCGGAAATTGTACTTGTGCTCGAAGTCCTCCTGCTTCTTCAGAAACA